TCGACGTTCGTGCCGGGGTTGTTTGTGGCGTCGCTGGGGTTCTTCGCGGTCAATGTGTGGATTCTCGGGGTAATTGTGCAGGATGTTGGGGGGTTGGAGGCCGGGGGTGGTGGGTACTAGATACTGAGCTACGCCAGGGAGTATATATAGGGCGGAGTCCAGGGTCAGACATCGGTTGAGTCGGATGGCAGACACAAGTCAGCTTCAGCTAAATGTAACATTATACTATCTTAAGCAAATCAGCAGTTGCTACAAACTCTCTCATCATGAAGACATGGACACACTCCCAAACTACGGCTTCGACACATCGGCAATCACCTTGTACGTCGACGCATGGATGCTCAACGGCCGCGTGCGGGGATACACGGCCCCCACGATCTGCCGATTGTGCCCGTACTGCGGATAGATCCCATCCGACAGCTCCACGTAGTGCGCCTCGGGCCGCGCCTCGTGCAGCGCCTCCAGGATCCGCTCGCTCCACAGGCCCGTACACTCGCCGTCCACCAGCTGGAAGTACGGGTTCAGCGGCGGACACGCCGAGTCCAGGTCGATGAAGCGGATGCGCATGTAGTCCAGCCGCGCGTGGAGCTGCAGGCTGTGCACCGCCCCCAGCACCAGCTTCTCGAACGACCGGATGAAGTTGAGGTTCGTGATCCCGGAGAAATCGTCCAGGAACGCCAGCCCCGGGTGCACGTGCTTCTTCTCCCGGCAGCACGTCTTGACCACCAGGTCCAGCGACTTCAGCCGCGACTTGGCCGGCCACGAGGCCATGAACCCGCGCGTCGCCTGGAAGAGGCCCGCGCACACCTTGCCCGTGAACGCCAGGGACTCGAGCTGCGGCGCCGCTTCGCCCAGCAGCCGGCAGAGGTGCGGCGGCGTGATCCCGTCGGGCGTCCACCCGGTCTGCGAGGTGTCCTTATTATAAAATCCCTCCAGGCTGATGTTGACATGCACCAGCGACGGCGAGAGCCGCGCCAGCACCTCCGCGATGGTCTCGTAGCCCTCGATCTTGGGCTTGGCGTAGGCACAGTGCCACTCGCGCACGCCCGGCAGCGCCTGGGACATATTGGCCCAGTGCTGGTAGTCGCGCATGATGTTCCACGCCCCGCGCATGACGAAGGTCTGGATGTCCGGCAGCACGGGGAGGCGCCGCAGCCCCGAGTGCCCGCACGGATCGTCCCGGAAATGGCGCACCATCGGCGGCCGCTTGCAATGGCCCCCCTCGAGGGTCAGGATGCGCGCCTGCGGGAAGCAGGTCTGCACGTGGGCGAACATCTCTTCCAGGGTGGCATTGTGGCTGGCATAGTGGTATCGATAGTCACTGCCGTGGTTGGTGTCCGAATCGTCCCAGACCATCGCATTCTGCAGGGCGGCCGCATCGGCAAACCCCACGTCTCCGTTGTTGAACCGCCGCGTCGGGAGCTGCTGCGTGAACTGCTTAGTCGCGCGTTTCCCCCAGACCGGGATCCAAATCTCGACATGGCGGACAAAAGGGGCGAGACGGGGGTGCGCCCGGAACCAGCGTGCGCTTGCCGCCAACTCATCTGCGGTGCCCTTGATTTTGACTGTAACCCGATCAGAACGAATCCAAGAGCCTGCGAACGAAAGAACAAAAACTGACTATGTCGGTAGATCCGATCCTGCACCAATTCTCGCCACACCCGGGTTATCAGCGATAGATTCGATAGCGCCTTTCGACGGGGATGACGCAACGACCGGTTCCAACTGCGCGCGGACTTGCCCCAGGTGCAAGAGGTGAAGGCGGATGCTCGTTCCCCAAACAGGTAGTCCAGAATCGCCTCGTGGATCTCGATGGGCAGATCTTCGAACCGGATCGCGGAATGGCTGGACTGTGGTGGTGTCTCGACGCTTATCGGGGGCTGGCTATCAGTGTCCTCCATCTCGGTATCCACCGGGCTCTGGTGACAAACGACGAGCCCCACCGCGGCGGAGGGAACGGGTCCCTCGGGAAACTGGATCTCCGCGCTGGTACACCGGTTCGATTTGGCATATGGAAGGGTGGTCGCGACCGACGCTTTGGCCAGCGAGTTGACAGACACGGGGCGAGGGGGAGGGAGCGTCGAGATCATGACGGGCGATGGGCGTGATTGTACGAGAATTCAGAGGAAAAAGGGAAACAAGAAAATAGTAAAAAAGGAAAACAGCATGAAACACCCGGAGAACGCCAAGCAGGGGAGAGAGAAATCAGCCGTCGTGAAATCGTTAGGCTAATGGAAGCCGGTGACAGGGAAGAGTCGATTTTAGTCTTTCGATAGTTCTGTGTCCAGATCAGAGAATGAAAGATGAGGGGAGAGACCGAGTGGTGTTTATTTTTTTCCCTTTTTCCTGCACAAAGTCTTGAGTGATCAGGCGGGCACTGCGGGATTCGTCAGACCAAGGCAAAATCGGATCTTCGTGTGCGACAGAAAAAAGGATAAAAATAGCGGGAGCAGATGATGACTTTTCCTTTCAGATCTGGGGGGTGGAGGAAAAACGAAAGCTGTTAAATTGAAGTTGAGGTTGATCGGCCAACGTGGTCCATGGCGGTGTTGATGCAGCAAGCAGTGTTGTTCAATCGATAACCGGCGGTTAGGCCGTCAGGCAGCTGGTGCAAGTAAATAGTAGGTGATTCAGATGGTAATCAGGATGGAGGGTATCAGAGAGGCAAACGAAGTGAAAGAAAACGAGCGCAACCAGGCGAGTGGGTATAAAGCAGATAGAGAGGGTGGAATTGACTAGGGGGTATCGAGTTAAGAAAAAGGGAAAATGGGAAACAGAAGACGAGAGGAAAAAGAAAAGAGGGGGAAGGGAAATAACTTTAAAATTAAAAAAAAAAAAGCAAGAGTAGGAAAACAGAGACGGGGAGAGGCAGCAGGAGGGATGGTGGATGGGAATGGGGGAAATGGGGAGATTTTCCAGGATGGATGGGAAAGTTGAAACACCACCCCGAAACTGGCTGGATCTTGCCATTGCTATCATCATCATCATCATCATCATCATCATCATCATCAACATCAACATCAATAATAACAATAGTCTACAAGCTCCTCAATCTCACACCACTCCCCTCACTCTCCTACTCCTGCTCCTGCTCTTGGAACTGGACTAACGTTACTGGCTCATAACATGGCCTGGTTTATTCTCGAAATTCTCGACTGTTGTGATGAAACTGTTTACATCACCCTCCTCAGGATCTCATCCATCGGCCTGTCTGTTTCAAGTAAATCGACCAGCCCGTCCACCATGAATCAAACCGATTGATGCTATATCGGGATACACCATAACTCATCATCTGCAGACATCCATATCATTCGCCTTTGGATAGATAACGATTGCAATGAAGACCGCAGGCGGGTGCTAGCACAAAGCTCCCTACACCGATCGATTCTCTCTCTCTCTCTCTCTCTGCGGAGTATAATGGGAGTGATCAATCACCTGAGATCTTCAAATCATCGTACTCATGTACATCCAACACCAACACATCCACTTGCTCCACTTGTGCCCAACACCTCCGTGCAGTACTTGCCAAGTTGTAGTGGACAGGATCGATAAGAAGGACCCCAAAGTGAAAGTTGGCTTTTCCCCGCAGGGTGGATCTTCTTTGCACTTTTCCCTTTCCTTTCCTCCCATCCCCACATCTGGCCGCATCTTTAATTTCACACTTCACTTACACTAAACAATTTGAGTCCTAGTCCACTACTTAAAGAAATATTCATATTTTGAGTATCAGCGCTAACCCATGCACAAAAAGCACAAAACGGACACCTGCAAAAGAAGACCTGCAAGGCATGATGAAAGCTATAATATACACGAAGAATCGAACCACATCCCTCAGCATCATCTCCGGCGGCGAAATCGAAATCGAAGTTCGTCGTCGCTGTCGGATTCCTCACGCTCTTCTCGCGTTCGTTTCTGCGTACGAGGCGCAGCCACCTCCGAGTCTGTGCGCGCTAGGGACTGCGAGCGAGACGCCACCGTACCGCTCGGGGTCATCGTTGGCTCTGGAGGGCTCTCTGCCACAACGGCCTCGGTCGATCGATGACTGTTGCTCACCCAGTAATGTTCGCCTACCCCAAATTCTTTGCGGGTGACCTCTTCCAAAGGAACTATGACGGTCTGGATGCGGTAGCGCGGCTGGCTAGGATCGCCCTTCCGTCGGAACTTTTTGAAGTTTTTGCGCCCGTTCCACCGATCGTTCCAGCGGCTATCCTCTGCATCGACATTGCGCGGCTTGATCTCCATCTCCTCCACAATAGCGAGTCCTTTGAGCTTCTCAATATCCACCTCTTGCAAGGAGTCCTGGAGAGATGCCTCTTCCGCAACTCGGCGCTGACGCTGGGCATCCTCTTCGGCTTCCCGATGCTGTCGGGCGGCCTCGAGCACATCTAGTTTCTGACGCTTAGGTTTGCGAGGGGATTCCTCCTTGGGCTGGGACGCTTCATCGTCTACAGATTGTCGAATGGTCTCAGCACGTCGACGTTTCATCGCCGCCGCACCTGGCAGTAGACTAGAGACAATATCTTCCTCGTCGTTCAGGCTGTTCTGTTGCTGCGACTCCTGGACAGACGCAGGTTCGATTTCCATCGGAGGAGGGGATATTGCTGGGCTTTCCTCTGGCGCATGAACTGGAATGGAGTTGATGTCGAAGCCATCATCAAATGTCTTCATCTTACTTACATACCCCCGCACACGAGGCCGGGACTTTCGTGCGGGCGGCTGACTTGCTTCCTCTGACGGCTGTGAGTCCGCGGCAAAAACTGTCTCGCTGGACCCGGTGCCGGGTGGAGGCTGCGGAGAAGGCTCTGCGTTTGCCTCGTCGCTAGCATCGACCTCCTCAAGTAGAGGCTGACAGAGTGGAGCCGCATTGTTGCCCAGAATGGCGTCCAGAAATTCACTCTGCTCAATCACCCGCTGCTCGGTCAGGAGTGCAATCTGTTTACTGAGCTCCAGGGACCACTCCTCATGGCGACCCTTGGCACGGTACCGAACATGCACCACACCGCCAGGGCTATCTCGCTGACTTCCCAACCCTTTATTCCCCGCAGCGTTCCTCATGAACTGCGCAAATTCCTCAGCTGTAGTCACTCCGTCCTCGATCTGATATAGTAAGACCTTCCCCTGGCCGTTGGTCAGGGCATCTTCTAAATTCTCCATCTGTGTGGCATCGCCGAAAACGAAGGTGATCCCCTCGAAGATGCTCAAGCGGGCGGGGTTGGGCGCAAAGGCCTCTTTGGGCCGTTGAGTCGTTTCCTTTCCCGGAGGAGGAAGATGCTCGGCTGGGTCCGGCCATGCCGAGTCGAAGTCAGCCTCGAGAGGGCACAGGGACTCGGGGCTGTCCAGGTCACTTGGAGTCGCCGCATAAACCAGGGCGTCCACGTAGGTATCCTGAACAATGTGCTTGGCATTCACCAATGCTTGCAAGCCCTTCGCTGTATTCCGTTTGCTCTGGACCACGTGCGTCGTCTTGTCGACTACGTAGGGTATGATCGTCTTGATATCGAGGTCTTCGAGTCGTGAGCGCACTCGTGCGAGAGGGTCTCTGGCTTTGAGCTCTTTGCTCGAGAAGGAAAAGCTCAGCACCGTGGGACACCATTTGATCCTATGTCAAGGGAAAGATGTTAGCTGGATCAGCGACAGGGGTAGAGCGCTTGTTCTCACCGCAGCATATGCTCATAGCGCCCCAGTTGCAGCTCGTGGTGCTGGCCCTCCAACTTCGTATTCCCACTTATCTTTTCACCATTAACCTTGGTACCCAACTTCGATCCCAGATCGGTAACAATTATTTCTGACTTGGTGTGGAGATGTGCCTACACCCAGTGAGGTCAGCGGGGAAGTTGCCCAGCATCGAACCGAATACTTACCCCATCGCCCGGCTTGACAGGGGAGACTTCGATCAAGAGATGCTTCCGCGAGATAGTCTTATTCGCAATGGCATGTCTCACTATAATCCGTTTGTTGGCATGATCGGCATTCGATCCTCGACTTTCTGACAATGAGAACCATAATTACCTCCATCTTCTCTAGCCCGACCGAACAGATACTTCTTCCCCGGGCGCAGCCAGACGCGCTTCCCTATTTTGCCAAACAGTTAGCCTTCATTTTGCCCAAGTGAGGTAAACAAGACATACCCTCAAGGAAATCCCCTTCAGACTCAAGGATCCACATGGGCAGACAAATGGAACCAGCTGCTTGCACGGCCAGAAGAAGGCTGGCTAAGTGACCGGCTGAAAGAATGACGGCGGCAGCATTGCACGTGAAAGCCTTCCGCGGGGAAACCCGCTGGACTCCAAAAGCACACCAACGCGTGATCACGTGCGCAGGCGTCGGTAGTGGCAGCTTTACCCACTTTGGGTAATAATTGCTTCGCGGGTGCCGGCGGAAAACGTCATCATCACCTTTTCTTTCAGACACAAGAAAGACAATGGAGCCTCCGGGCGAGGAGCGTCCCGCCAACAACAACAAGGATGCAGACAATAAATTCGAAACCCTCAAATATCAACTGCTTGGTCCCTCCCTGACCAAAGCCGGTCAGGATGCCGTGGATCAGCGGAAGGTGAATATATCCCGACTTAGTCGCTTTCTGCCTTCTTCATACTGAGCGATTCCGATCCAGGTGTCCGAAATCATCTACAACGCCTCCAAGGGCTCCAAGTTCTTCAACCACGAGCAAAATCGCGACAAGGTACTGACGGAGAAGATCGCGCGGATTCTCCGCGAGAAAGCCCACCTCGCGACGCTCGATCTCTCGGCGGACCTCCGGCGCGCGGACCAGCTGATCGCAGAGCTGGAGCTGACGCGGGATCTAAGTCAGCACGTCGTGCACGTCGACTGCGACGCCTTCTTCGCGGCGGTCGAGGAGCTGGACCACCCAGAGCTGAAGACCGTGCCCATGGCCGTCGGCAAGGGCGTCCTGACGACCTGCAACTACGAGGCGCGCAAGTTCGGCGTCCGCAGCGGCATGGCCTCCTTCGTGGCCATGAAGCTCTGCCCGCGGCTGGTCTGCCTGCCGATGAACTACGACAAGTACAGCGCCAAGGCGAGGGAGATCCGCGCGGTCTTCGCACGGTATGACCCCCTTTTCGAGAGCGCGAGCATCGACGAGGCCTACCTCAACCTGACAGCCTACTGTGCGGAGAACGGGGTGGGCGCGGAGGAGACGGTCGAGCGCATGCGCGCCGAGGTGCTGGCCGAAACCAAGGTCTCGGTCTCGGCGGGCATCGCGGCGAATGCCAAGCTGGCCAAGATCGCCTCGAATCGGAATAAGCCGAATGGCCAGTTCTGCGTGCCGAGCGAGAGAGAGGCGATCATGGCGTTCATGCGGGAGCTCCCGGTGCGGAAGGTGAATGGGGTGGGGCGGGTGTTCGAGCGCGAGCTGGAAGCGATCGGCATCAAGACCTGTGGGGATATCTTCCCGCAGCGGGCGTATCTGACGCGCCTGTTTGGGGAGAAGGCGGCGTACTTTCTCATGCAGTGCTATCTGGGTCTGGGGAGGACGAAGATCCAGCCCGTGGACAACTATGAGCGGAAGAGTGTGGGCACGGAGCGCACGTTTCATGAGTTGGGCGGTAAGGAGGAGCTTCGCGCGAAGTTATGGTCGGCGGCCGAGGAGCTGGAAAAGGACCTCGCTCGCACGGAGTTCAAAGGTCGTACCCTGGTGTTGAAGGTCAAGCTGGCAACCTTCGAAGTGCTCTCGCGGCAATGTCAACCCTCGCGCGCGGTATTCACCGCCAAGGATCTCTATGCCTTCTCCCTACCAATGCTGGAGAAGCTGGAGAAGGAGATCCCTGACATGAAGCTGCGATTGCTTGGTCTGCGCTGCACCAATCTCGTGAGCACCAAGAAAGTCGGCATCGAGTTCTTCGGGGTCGCCCCTCGGCCTAAACTAGCCGTGGAGCCGTCTACCGACGACAATCCCGACCAAGAGATCGGCGCGGAAGAAGCATTTGAAAGAGCTGCGCGTCAGGAGTTACACGACGAGATGAATGAGATTGAGAAGCTCAGCCAGGAAGTCTCCGAATCAGCAGATGTTGACGGCAAGCCAGCCCAGAACACAGCCCCAGCGTATTGGGATTGTCCGATATGTTTGAAACCCCAGGTGGCCGATGATCGGGTCTTCAACGACCATGTCGACTACTGTCTCTCCAAGCAGACCATCAAAGAGGCGGTCCAGGGTGCCACTGAGCATGTCCGCGAAGAAACCCCGCCGGCGGCGTCCAAATCCCGCAAACGCAAACCTCCCGGACAGGAGTCTCCGGATCCGCGACAGAAGAAACTGTTCTTTTCTTGACCACTGCATGGTATGATATACATCGATGTTGAGCTCCGATGGAGCGTTCTCCGATTTCAACCGTCATTCCTCGGCCGGTCCGTGGAAATTACACCCCAATCTGTTTACAGCAGTATTTGGCGTCACCACTCCTGTTTTGAGAGTCATACACTATAGACAACCGCATATACCCCTTTTGGCTCCCTACACATTAACAAATTTGAATTGGATAAAACATATTTTGTTAGACATTTCCCTCAGAACAGTACTGAAGAACGGGGTCACAGCCCACAATCAGTTGCTAACGAGCAGCACCTGTGAGCTCCATAGCATTTTATTCTGCGGGAAATATCATCCTCTACTATACAATCCACCCTCCCACTCAGCAAGGTAATTCCCTCTCACCCAATCAGTCCGAAACACCGCTCTTTGTCCACCAGAAATCACACTCCTTGCTACTCCATTCATCATCCGCCATCTGCGCCGTCACGCCCACACCCCGGCCCCCCGCACGCTCATCATTGCCCTCTCCAAGCACCATAATCCTCTGCGAAGCATCAAACGGCTCCCAGCGCGGTCTTCGCGCAAACCTCCCTCGCACCGCATTCGGATCCCCACTCACAATAAACGAAGTGATGTACGCATGAAACGTCCCGGCCATCTCCTCCTGCGCCGGCGAGAACGCCCTGACCTCGGGATCGAACGTCTCATACGCCATCTGATCCCCATGATTCGCCCCGCCCAGCACGGTCCTATTCAACGCCCACCGATACAGGAACACCGGCTCGCGCTGCTGCTGCGCCGCCGACACAAACCGCGCCGTCTGGCGCACGGGACACGCATACGCGTAGTGGCCGTACGCGGCCTCGACGCGCTTGAACTGCGGGCCCACGCTGATATTCCTCGTCTCGAGGTACGGGGACGCGCCATCGACGGCCGGATCCGGGTAGAGCGCGTCGATGGCGCGCAGGTCCTGGGCGGTCCACGCGGGGAGGAGGGCTGCGAAGAAGGCGGAGAATTCGGCCGCGGTGGCCAGCGCCGTCGGCACGTAGTACGTGCCCTCGTTGGTGTTGAAGCCCGTCAGCAGTGCAATGTTCTTGTTCCAGGCGCCGGCGCGCCAGGCGTCGATGGGCCGGCGCTTGATGAGGTCGCCGTCGATGACGGGCTGGAAGGCCCACCGTACGGATGGGTTGTAGCGGTCGAAGACGGTGGAGGAGGCGGTGGTGATGGTCGTGGACGGCGCGGCGCGCAGGCAGGTTAGGATGTTGGGGTCGGGGAGGGACAGGGTGTGGGCGCATCCGGCTGCGGTCACGAACTCCCGGAATTGTGCTTCGTGTAGGGCCGCGTTGTGGGCGTGGACGGCGCGAGAGGTCGCGGCGCCGGATTCGATGATCGCCCGGTGGAAGTAGGTGTGTTGTAGGTCGGGGTTTAGGATGTGGTGGGCGATCTGGGGGTGTTTAGTCTTCGGGTTTCTGGGGGGGTGTGGTGGTGAAAGGGGTGGGTGACTCTTACTGAGTGCGCGCCGGCCGAAAGCCCGATCAGAGTGACTTGGGATGGGTCGCCGCCGAAGCTGGCGATGTTGTCTTGCACCCATTGGAACAGGAGGAGTTGGTCGTGCAGTCCGAGGTTAAGGATGCCTTCGTTCGCTGTGGTGGTCGAGGGGAGGAAGCCGAGAGCACCGATTCTGCAGTGTGTTAGTTGCGCATGTTTCTTGTTCGCCTTGCTAGCCTCGAGGGCGCATGCACTTGCCTGTAGTTGAAGCTGACCGCGACAAAGGGCTCGTCGGCCCAACCCACCATGGACGCTGTATTGTGCATCGAGGCTGGTCCGATCAGTTACCACTCATGCAACCTTGGAAGCCTGTCCTACCTGTTCCGCGGTTATAAGCGCCACCGTGAACGTAGACAGCAACAGGGAGCTTGCCCTGCACCCCCTGGGGACGAAAGACATTGACCGTAAGACAATCCTCGCTGCTGCCGCTATCCCCGGGGATCTGCAACAACTGCTTGCCTGGGCAGCTGTCGAACCATCAGCCGACGCGCGGTACAGATGTACTGAACACATACCGTGGACCATAGCGACTGGCATCGACCAACTCGTCCGACGCATTGACAGGAACGGCCCGACGGAACCTGCGATCGCCCACCGGCGGTACGGCATAGGGGATTCCACGGAACGCGTCCACCGGATGGTTTAAAGTGTCTGTCAACGTGGTGCCCACCACCGTGCCCTGGGATATGGCGACGCGGGGCCGATCCAGGAGGATAGCATTGTGTAGCGACGAGGGCAGCCACGAGGCAAGGAGTGTTTGGAGCTGTTGAGTGCTGCTAGATGGCTGCTGGACAAACAGCAGCAGAATGAGCGGCAGTGCAGCCAGGAGCAACGGTCTCGCACTCAGCATGGTCGGTCGGTAGTATCACGTATGGAGTGAACAAAACTCCGGAATTCTGACTGAACTGATTGCCGAACACGGTCCTTTTATTGGGGAGTTGGGGAATCTCCTCATCGGCGACCACTTTTGCGTGCCGACAGACTGCGCTATCAATCACTTTCCCCGCTCCTCCCCTCAATCTTATCTTCGCCTCCTCCATCTCCCGCTTATCTCGGACACTCTCCGAGATATAGTTACTTCGTCACGGGCGTTTATCGAGGGTTGGCTGCTCCTCGCAAGATGGGTGGTTATCGGTCCTCGCTCGTGGAGGACACTGCTTTCGGCAGCTTGGTCCGGGTTGAGCACTCTTATCAGCTATGGGTGCCACTGATTGCCACAGAGCAAGTCTCCCATGATGAAGGGTTGAAGGTCATGCTTCGAGGAGCTATGGGGAAATGCCCAGTACCTTATCTCAGGATAATAGAGGGGAGGCTGTCGAGGCGGGCTGCCTTGGGAGTATTTAAGGCATCCCTCATTTCTCGAGTGGTCTTTCAGGAACCATCTATATCACCATACATCCATCTAAATGGCGGCAATCAATCCTCTCCAACAAAGAGTCAAGCATCAGGAAAAGGAGAAGCCCCCTCCTGTGAACGTATCCAAAGCCGACGACGTGGAAGTCGGCGAGGTCTCCTCGCTGGACGAGGCCGAGCTCTTCCTCCATGAGCACGGCGTCTCGCACGACCAACTCCAGGCAATGCTCGACGATCCCGTCCGGACGAGGAAGCTGAGACGACGTATCGATCTGATCCTGCTCCCGCTCATGTGCGGCACCTACTGTCTCCAATACATCGACAAGCAGGTGCGTCTCTCCCCCCCCACACAACAGCTGGAAGCTAAGTCTGCGCAGGCCTTATCATACAGTGCTGTGTTCGACTTGTTCACCGACGCCCATATCGACAGCAACCAGTACAGCTGGCTTGCCAGTATCTTCTACTTTGGTAGCGTGCTCCCGTCCCGTGGTATGCTGGCGGGTCGCTGACGGGGGTCAGGGTATCTGTTCTGGGAGTACCCGGCCAGCTACATTGCACAGCGGCTGCCGATTGGCACCGTTGTGTCGAGTTTCGTGTGAGTGCGTCGCCGAGATACGGAGGTGTGCAAGCTAACGAGGCGTAGGATCGCCTGGGGCGCGATTCTCATGATCACCGCGGCCTGCCACGATTTCACCGGGATGGCGGTGTGTCGGTTCTTGCTGGGATGCTTTGAATGTATGTTCCTCCTGTGTACCATAGGCAGACCCAGCTGACTTCGCAGCGCCAATCACGCCGCGTTTCATGATGATCGTGGGCATGTGGTACGTTCGTCAAGAGCAGCCCTTCCGCGCAGGGATCTTCTACTGCTGCAACGGGGTGGGATCGATGGTATGCTGGCCTTTGTGGAATTCTACAATTGATCCGAGACTCACTGACTGAGTAGGTCGGCGGACTGATCACCTACGGCATCGGCCAGATGGACGGCTTCCCCGTCTGGCGCGCCGTGTTTCTCATCTGCGGCGGGGCGACCATCCTCTGGGGGATCCTCATGCTGCTCTTCCTGCCGAACAGCATCCTCTCCTCGAAACGCTTCTCCGTGGAAGAGAAGATCATGCTCATTGGTCGCGGGAAGCAGAACCAGACTGTATGGCCTCTAAGTTCTGTTAACATGGTCAGAGCTAATCGCTACTCCGATGGCTCAGGGTATCCTCAACCGCTCGATCAAGTGGTACCAGATCCGCGAAGCCCTCATAGACCCGCAAGTCTGGCTGTTGTTCCTATTCACTCTGCTGAACGAGACCGTCAACGGGGGTGTAGCCAACGTACGTCCTCTCCCCTCGTTTCAGAAGCTGACGACATGGAATACGAGATCCTAACCCCCCGAGGGAAACAGTTCGGCAAACTCATCATCCGCGGCCTAGTCTCCAGCTCCCTGCTAACCACGGTCCTGAGCATCCCCCAAGGCGCCTTCCAGGTCCTCTTCATCCTCTCGGGCACATACCTCTCCTCGCGCTTCAAGAACATCCGCACGCTCATCATGGCCGTGTACCTCATCCCGACGGTGATTGGTGTCTGTCTCCTCTGGAAGCTCCCGCGGACGAATCGCTACGGCGTGTTGCTCGGATACTACATCGTAAGTGCCCTGCCCTTTCTTACTTGACACGGAGCACAACGTCAACTCCAACCATCATGCCAGGTGGGATCCTTCGTCACCTCGCTCGTGCTCGCGCTGCAAATGCCTTCCAGCAACATGGGCGGCTACACCAAGCGCGTCACGGCCACCGCGTTCGTGTTCCTGGCGTACTGCATCGGGAACATCATCGGCCCGCACGCGTTCCTGGCGGAGGAGGCGCCCGTCTACGCGACGGGGTGTAAGTTGATCCTGGCGTGTGCGCTGTGTCAGATGGCGATTGCGGGGCTGTTGCGGGTGCTGTTGGCGCGGAGGAATCGTCGGCGCGAGCTCGATGTCGCAGTCGTCGCCGAAAGAGGAGAAGAAGAGGAAGAAGAGGTGATGGCCGATCGGACGGATTTCGAGGTATGTCTGCTGCCTTTTACCTGTGCTTGCTCAAACTACAGTTCCCAGCTAACGGATGAGTGTGCGTGTGTGTGTAGAATCCTCAATTCCGCTATGTTCTCTAAATTTATAACCCCACGCGTCTAAACACACAAGCAACCCCATCCCACCCCCCACCCCCAATTTTCCCTCCTCCTCTACAAAAAATAGAAAATCACATAGGCAACCCCGCCATCTCCCCGACCTTCCAATACCGTCTCATATTCTCCGCCCGCAACGCCTCCACCTCCTGGTCGAGGTGTTCAAACAACACCGTCCCAAACCCCTCCAGCAACCGCTTCACCTCCCCGCGCTCCAGATCCGTCTCCCCCCGCCGACACCCCTCCAGATACCGCTCCAGCGCGTCCATCCCCCGGTGGATCACCTTATGCTGGCCGACCAGGCTCAGCTCGCGCCGGAACTCTGGCATCCGGCGCGCCAGCACGGGGAAGATGTGCCGCTCCTCGATCGTGTGGTGCATCGTGAGGTGGTGGCAGAATTCCAGCCCCAGGGTGATCAGGGCTTTTGGGGGCAGGGTGGGTTTTTTGTTGGCTGGGGCGCACGCGGTTTGGAGGGTTGCGTAGGTGTGGCGGAAGTGGGTGTGCTTGTTTTTTTGGATGTTAGTATTGGGATGGTGGGGGGGGTGAGAGATAGGGCGTTGGGGGGGGGGAGTGGTAAAGTGCTTGGTAAGAGTAAGGTAGGTCAGGTGGTGTGTTCTGTTGTATGGTGGATGGATACATATAGTTAAGTTGTTGTGTACTGGTACTCAGCGGGGAGATAACCCAGTAACCCACGGGGGAGGAGGGTAGGGTAGGGTAGGTCAGGTAGAGAGGGAACACCATAAGATATCTGCACGATTTCCCCGGGGAACATACAAACTGATCCATATGCTCCGCCAACCGATTATACACCCGAAATTCCTTCGCGGAGAGCGGCGGGAGGGGGGCCTCCTCCGCTTCCGCGGGCGGCTGCTCACCGGGCTTGGGCTTGGAGTAGTCGGGTGTAGCTTGCGCAGCAGCAGGCGGCGGCGGCGGCATGGTGGTTATCTTCTGTTGATAAGGCACACACTCAAGGGAAACGCGGGCGGGGGCTATCAGTGCTGGTCTGCGCGGGCGAGCAGCAGCAGCAGCAGCAGGGCGAGGGAGGCGGGAAATACTAAAGGGTGGTCGTGCAATGAAGCGCATGGGATTGGAATCGGAAAGATTGTCAGCAATTGTAAGCAGGAGATTAGAATATTGATTATGATCGTGATTATGATTTGGATTAGTATGGGGGCTGATGCGGTTGGATAAGAGAGAAAAACTACGGAGTACAAAAGACTTTCGGCAGTTGGAGGCGTCCGTTAGGGACCGGGGCTGTGGGGCAGGGGTTGGATTGGGTCTAGTGTGATGTGGATGGGTGGGCTGGGCGGTGTGCGGAGCTAACTAGGCACCAGTGGGGTGGATTGCCGGCAGAATAAGGAAAGGGGATTCAAGCACCTGCACATCCACTGGGTAGACACTGGAGGCTACTCCGATATTGACCGCCCATTTTTATGCTAGACTAACACTAAACCCATTCAGAACTGGAAATAGAACTGCCAGGGAACTCCCAGTCTGCAAAAGATCTCCAATGTCCAATGAACAGTTCTAAAAGTAGTTGAGCACGAAAATACAATCTTTCAAAAATCGTCATGGACAATGTACTCTCCGTAGTACCATCCCTCCGGAATCAATTCACCCACCACCAGCACAGCCATATAACCACCACCACCAGACAGCTCCCCCAATCCCAATCCCAATCCCAATCCCATTCCCCATGAACATGAACATGGAAATAGACATGGCCACAGACATCATCCGCGCCGGCTGGGACCTCAACCCTACCAGTACCGCCGCCCGCGCTGCCCGCGCCCGCGCCCACCCGCAGCCATCCTTCTCCTTCTCCTCCTCCTCCTCCTCCTGCGCGACAACCCCCTCGCCCCCACCCAGACCCCCGGGGCTGAACCTCCCGCTCGACAAGCAGACGTCTCTGATTCAAGTGTGCATCGACTTCCGCCACTACACCAAGGGAACACAGACGACGGCCCGATTCTAGGACCGGGTGGCCGATGACTTCCGCCAGGTTTTGCGTCGGCCCGCTATGACTCCCGCGGCGGTCGAGCAGTTGGTCCGCGCGATCGAGGACGACTACGTGCGCTGGGTTGAGGCGTGGGAGCAGGGCCGGGCGCGGGACAAGGGTTCGGAGTATGAGGGGTGGTTGGGGAGGTGGATGAGGGGGCGGGATGGGTTTTATGCGAAAATCGCGGCGGCACGGGAGGATGAGAGAATAGCGGAGGCGCGGGAGGAGGAGGGGGAGGGGGAGGGGGAGGGATCGATGGGGCAGAAGCAGCACCAGCAGCAGCAGCAGCAGCAGGAGGAGGATGAGGAGGAGGATGAGGAGGAGGATGAGGATGAGGTTGAGGACGAGGATGAGGTTGAGGACGAGGATGAGGTTGAGGACGAGGATCAGGTTGAGGATGAGGTTGAGGCGCAAGAGCGTCGCGATCAACTAGCCACACTTCGTATGCCTCATGAGAAACGTCGCTTTATGGCCTCCAAGGCCTCCGAGGCCTCCGACGAGGTGCCACATAAAAGGCAGAGGCGCGCAAACCCGGAAGAATCTGAGAGGGCGCGCTTATTTCGCGTGATTGCTGACTCGTTGGAAGCTGAAAGCTCTTCCGAGCGCAAGGTGAAAGAGATGGAACACGAGATGCAAATCATGCAGCACAAGTTGGATAGGATGAACCACAAGGTAGACCTGATTCTAAAACACATCAAAAAATAGTGCAGATATGGAGATCTTCGAGAACTTCGCGGCCCAGACTCCTGCCGTACAACCACAAACATCAGGAAGCGGAATTTACAATGGACATAACTAAAAGATGGGAAATCGAGATATCAATTCATTAGAACTGCCTATGTTTACAGTATGTTCCAGGTCCTCAATGGATGTTTGCCATCGCAACAGTTAAGTTGCAAGACACACATCTAGTACGTCGCTGGGCGAGAATTTCTCATTTCAATATCAGCACTTCTTCGGCACAACCACAGTCATGGACAGGCTGGATTGCAATTTGACATCCGTGCTAGGGAACCTAAAAGAAAAGAGAATAAGGTGTCAGGTCAATGTATTAAAGTATGGCGGTCATGGCGACGAAATGAGGTATAGAACATGAGCCAGCCGCGGTCACTAGGTAAGTATCAAGACATGTCGTAACTCCGTAGAAGATATTGGAACAATCTACAGTTCCTGGTGGGCGAGCTCATGAATATTCTCGGGCGGCCGGAAGTTGCCCTTCCTAAGCTCTTGCCATGCGAGATCGAACCGCGCACCCAACATCCAAGCCGTGCCAATCTACAACAGTCAGTAAACAATCGTGTGAGAGACCGAGAAAGACATACCATAACAACCGAGACGATGACCACAATCACCAGCATGAGGCCCATCATAAAGCACACATCCTGGCGCGTGTCGGCCTCTTCCTCTCTCTTCTTACGCTCAGCCTCAGTCATCTCGCCGGTGATACGACGCTTGGCCACCTCGGCGGACTGAGTGGGGAAGATCGTCTCAATCCACTTCTCAATCTACCAAGTATTAGTAAGGGCTCACGTGAACCAAGGGGAGTCAACATACCCGTCCGCAGACCAGACTAATCTTCAGGAAGTTGGGATCCTTAGGAGTGTTCTTCTTGTGGATCCGACGGGCGTAGACACGGAAGGTGTCACTCAGTACCCGCAGGTTCTGGGTGGATTCGAACATGAGCTTGCACGCCTCACCCTTGGTGATCTTGATGTTTCTTTCGAAGATCGCCGGGTTGCGGAAGCACAGCTCCAGGGTAGCGATGGCCATGGACTGCGGGATGGCACAGAAGTTGAAGATACTCTGCTCCCGGAGACCAGCCAGATAGAACAGGCAGTCCTCCACATGTTCCAATGCGTTCAAGACCATCTCGGAGCCGCAGTTAAGCGCTGCCTCGCGATGCTGTGGGTCAAACAGATCGTCAAAGTTGGTGACGTGCTTCGACCAAATTTCTTTGGGCCAAAAGCGACGCTTATCGTCATTGTCCTCTCGGACGTCACGGATGATGTTGGTCTTCTGCAGGAAGAGACCCATCGACTTGTGCAGACGAGTGCGCTCCAAGAGAGCCGGGTTGGCAAACTCGGCCTCGACAAACAGACGCGTCAAGCCTTCGCCCACCAGACCAGCCACGTACCAGCAGTATTCATCGTACTCAGCCGTGGTCTTGACGCTGGCGTCCTCGAATTCGGCCTTCCGGCAGTAGTCGGCCATACCGTTGCCCATCTTATCGGTGATGTCCTTCACGATCGCCTGATAGGCCGGCTTCATGTTCTTGAATTCCGTGATGACGTTGTGAAACTGAACCAGCAGCTCACGGTCCTTCTCCTCGGGGCGGTTGCCGGTGAAGGTCCACCCATCCTGCTCGAGGAAATCCTTGAAGCCGCGGAGGAGAGGCTCCTTGGTCTCCAGAGGGATCGAGGTGTCATCTTCAATGGTGTCCAAGCCGCGCAGGACCAGGTAGAAAATGCAGACCGGCAGCAGCAACTCGGGATGTAACTCCTTGATGACGGCGCTGAAGCTGCGACTGGTCAAGTCGAGGAATTTGAAGCAGGCCTTCTGGGTTTCGGTCTCGTCCTTCTCATTGCGTTCGTGAACGGGTGAGTGCCAGACTTTCCTATTACCACGGGCGCGGACCCCTTCGTAAGCGTTGGCACAAACACACGACCCATCATCACCGCTCAAGGACGTGAGCCAGTACTAACCATTGCACTATCGACCTCAATTCTGAGGGGTGAAAGGTGTAGTAGAAGATGTTCGAAGCGAGGCCCATTGTGAAGACTGAAAAAACGACGGGGTATTACGACCGGCGAAAAGCCAGATTGACAACGTGAGGCAAGGATTATTATGGGGTCAACAACAGCAGCAGGATAAACAGTAGTGAATCAAGTGACCGAATCAACGGGAACCCAGACGATTGAAATGATAATCGTGGTACAATAATGTACAGACAGCTATGAGCGAATGGCCTCAGTAGCAGCAAAGGGGACGCGGAGAGAATGAGACGGAGGTGGAGGGGAAAGACGGGAGGAAGGAGGAAGGAGGAAGAAGAAGGGAAAGTATGGAGAGGAGGATGGAGAGTGAGAGAGAGAGGGAGGGAAATTAAATTGGGCGTAAAAAAGGGGGTGGGAGGAGGGAGGGAGAGAGTGAGAGAAGAAAGAGAAGAAGAAGAAGAGAAGAGAAGAGAAGAGGAGAAAAAAAAACAGTTGGTGGAAGAAAAGGTGGTGGATGGAGAGGAAGAAGCGAAGAGGAGAAAACCAAACGAGGCAATTCATTTTTCCCGCGCCGAGAAAGAGAGAAGAAGCGGTGCAAAGATGCAAACATCGCCTCTGACTGGCTCCGATGAGCCCCCGGGGGGCTGTGACCCGGTATTTACCGCATCCTTCGCCCGAGACTTGGCAGAGAGCGGGTCTTGCTGCCTCTTCTTGCCCCGTTGTGTGACCATACGTGACGGTACCTCTACCGCAACAGAGACCAAAAAAACATCGATCGCTCCCCCGCCATGACGAAAGGGTCGTCGCAAGGCATCCATCTGCCTTTCTCATGAAAAAATAGTCCCAATCTGACCAAACTGAACTCTACAACTGGTTGAGCTTCTACCTTCACAGATTAGATCTTGTGTGGTAGTTGACAACTTACCCTGCAGCAGCCTTTCCAAGACCCACGGCTGCATCTCTTCCCCCCTCCGCTGGCTGTTCTTTTGCTGCAGCCCAAAACCGATAGCCAAATCATCATCCCTCGCGTGGTCGGGTAAAAGCTTTGCTCCATCCCACCATGGTTGTCGACACTACATACTACGACGCCCTCGGCGTTCCTCCCACTGCGACCGAGCTGGAGATCAAGAAGGCCTACCGGAAGTTGGCTATCGTCACCCATCCTGGTTCGTCCGCGTGGCCCTGTGTTGTCAGCCCTCGAGCGAACTGACCCTTTGGCAGATAAGAACCCCGGCGATGAAACTGCACATGCGCGCTTCCAGGCGGTGAGAACGACCCTCGAGAGATAACCCCGCTGATACTAATCCTGCCCGGGCTTGACTAGATTGGAGAAGCCTACCAAGTTCTCAGCGATGAAGAATTACGCAAACGCTACGACAAGTTTGGCAAGGAGGATGCCGTCCCCGGCGGCGGTTTCGGTAAGTCGACGACGGCACAAGATACGCGGACAGCACTGACTCTGGTCTTCCAGAGGACCCGGCGGAATTCTTCAGCATGATCTTCGGTGGCAGTGCGTTTGTCGATCTCATCGGTGAGATCTCGCTCATGAAGGACCTGACCGCGACGATGGACATCACGATGCAACAGATGGAGGAGGAAGAACTGGCCGCCTCCGCCGAGGAGAAACTCAACATCCACGATGAGGAGCAAGCCGCTCGCGCCTCTGCCGAGGGTACGACGCCAACCGCGACTGAGTCCCCGGCCGCCGCACCCGAGAAGCCCGCCGCTGAAAAGCCCGCCGCGCCCACCTCTTCCAGCTCCGGTGCTAGCACGCCCCGCCGCTTCATGGGCCAGCAGGCCATCATGGACAAGTCCGAGGAGGAAGCGCGCATGGAGGCAGCCGGTCTGTCTCAGGAAGAGAAGGAGCTGCGCAAGAAGGAGAAGAAGAAGGGACTGTCGAAGGAACAACAGGAGCGGCTGGCAGCCTACGAGCTGGAGCGGAAGAAGGCCCGCGAGGAGCGCGTCAACACCCTGGCCACCAAGCTGATTGACAAGATCAGCGTGTGGACGGAGACCGACAAGGGCGCGGACGTCACCCGCGCCTTCGAGGAGAAGATCCGCCTGGAGGTGGAGAACCTGAAGATGGAATCGTTCGGTTTGGAGATCCTGCATGCGATCGGCGCCACCTACGTGCAGAAGGCTACGTCCTTCCTCAAGTCGCAGAAGTTCCTGGGTATCTCCGGCTTCTTCTCGCGCCTGAAGGACAAGGGCACTCTCGCCAAGGAGACCTGGACGACTATCTCGACCGCCATCGATGCGCAGATGACGATGGAGGAGATGGCCAAGTTGGAGGAGCGCGGTGGAGAGGACTGGACGGACGAGAAGAAGGCCGAGTATGAGAAGAAGGTGACTGGTAAGATCCTGGCGGCCGCCTGGCGTGGCAGCAAGTTCGAGATTCAGAGCGTGTTGCGGGATGTCTGCGACCAGGTCCTCGGCGACAAGCGCGTGAAGTTGGACAAGCGTGTTGAGCGCGCCCACGCTTTGGTGATTGCGGGCAACATTTACTCCAAGGTGGGTGGCTATCTACTTGCGCAGTTATCATGGAAGCTAATTCGAACTACAGGCCGAACGTGACCCCGAGGAGGAAGGTGACTTTATGGCATTCGAGCAGTTGATGGCCGAGTCAATGACGAAGAAGGGCAAGGATGAGAAGAAGAAGAAGGGCAAGCATGGGCATTTCCACCACCACCACGAGGAGGAGGCCGAGGCCACGGCTGCTTAGTTCTACTTGTGCATGTGTATTGATTTTGTCCCAGTATAAGGCTGTCTGGTTTCGACTGGATCCTTGGTTGGATATGGGATGTTTCTCTGTAGCGACTGGTATTTTGATTTTTCCACGCGCACCGATGATGTGACCCACCCATACTTAGATGGATTTTAATAGATTGCTTTTGCTTGAGGAGGTGATGTGGTGCTTAGAGTAGGGATGATTCAGAGCGGTGTTGATTTTGATGTGCCATGGCAAGATAGTAAAAAAAGTGAGACTTGCCTTCCCAACCCCGGTGAGTTGTTGTGCCTGCAGATTCCCCAGCCTCCCGACATCGGGGCTTTTGCCTGATAAGCTTTGAGCCTTCTTGCTCCCGTTCGCAGGTCGAGTCCACCGTCCGTCCATCTGCAACTAGTGCCAAGTCTGAATAATTTATCTCCTATCAAGGTCCCCCGCACGCGACCAGCTACCGTGTTTGGATTACTCCTCCCCACTGTTGGCCGTCTAGCTGGAATGTAACCAGTTTCTGCTGCCCTTGATACGGCGGAGTTCCGCGTCTTTTGTCCGACAATTGACTCCATTGATCGTCACAATCCTTCTTGCGTCGCCCACCCGCCCCGTTATGGACCGCGGTATATAACCCTAACTTCCCCCGCCTGCTGCACGATGACTCCGAGACCTCCCCGGCTGTGTCATCGTACGACCCGCGCCTCCCTCTTCATAACCCTCGGCCTGCTCCTCCTGGCTCTGAACCTCATCCCCTCCTCAATGCTGCTCTCCTCCACCCAGGTGATCCTGGCCACCGTGGGCGCCAGCGCGGCTGCTCTGCCCAGCACATCATCCGCCGCAGCCTCCGCACCGACGGGCTCCGCCCTACCCGCTGGCTTCGACATCACCGCATACTGGGGCAACCTGAGCCCCTACAAAGATGGCCCCGGGTTCAACGTCTCAACCGGCGTTCCGCTGGGCTGCGAACTCTCGCAGGTGCACGTCCTGCACCGTCACGCCCAGCGGTACCCGACGCCGTATGCTCTCGACGGCCTCAGCATGGAGGCCTTCGCGCAGAAGCTCCAGAACTACAGCCTGCAGCACCCCAACGAGACGCTGGGCACCGGCCCGCTGGCCTTTCTGAACGACTGGAGATACCTCATGGGCGAGGACCTTCTGCTGCCCTCCGGCGCGGCCACCGAGGCGAGCTCCGGGGCCAACTTCTGGAACAAATACGGCCGGCCGCTGTTCCGTGCCCCGGCCGGTCTCGCGGACTGGGATCCGTCGTTGAACGTGTATCCGAACGGGACGCAGCGGCCCAAGCCCATCTTCCGGACGACGGGACAGGCGCGGATTCTTGAGAGCGCGCGGTGGTGGTTGAGTACGTATCTCCCTTTTACCTACCCGACCATTCCCTTACGTTATGTACTAACCGCCCCGATCCAAAAAGGTGGATTCTTCAGCAGCACGAACGCCAACAACTCCGCCAGCCAATACGACCTAGTGATCATCCCGGAGACGAGCGGCTACAACAACACTCTAGCAGCGACGTGCCCCGAAGCGCAGTACGAGGGGTGAGTACCGTAGTTCCAAACCATCCATCCCCCCGCTTCGTCAAACCCAAAACTAACCCCCCGGTCCCAAACAAAAAGGGACACCTCCGCCGAAACCTTCCTGACCAAAACCACCCCGGCAATCCTCAACCGGCTCACCCCCTACCTCCCCCGCCGCCTCGCCTCGACGCTCACCCCCCTCGACATCCTCAGCATGCTGAACCTGTGCCCGTACGAGACCGCCGTCCTAGGCAGCTCCGCTTGGTGCCCGCTCTTCACGGCCTCGGACTGGGAAACGTTCGCCTACGCGCTCGACCTCCAATTCTACGGCGACTACGGCTTCGGCGCCGCGTCGGGCCGCGCGCAGGGCCTCGGCTGGGTGCTCGAGCTGGCCGCCCGCCTCAACAACACCCTCATCACCGCGCCCGCGGCCAACATCAACCTCACCTACGACTCGTCCCCCGCCACCTTCCCGCTGCATCAGAAACTGTACATGGACATGTCGCACGACGACGTGATCGTCTCCGTGCTGGCCGCGCTGGGCGTCGAGTATTTCAACTTCGGCCCCGCCGGGTTGCCCGGCAATGTGAGTGTGCCGCCGCCCCGGAATTTCCGGTTGAATGAGGTGGCGCCGTTTGGGGCGCATCTGGTCGCGGAGGTGTGGTCGTGTCCCGCGGGTCGGGAGCGGGTGCTGGGTGGGGAGACCTTGTATGTGAATCCGACGGTGAAGGGGGTCGTGGAGGCGGAGGATTGGATTAGGTTTGTGTTGAATGGGAAGGCTGTGCCGCTGGGGGGCGTGAGTGGGTGTGAGCGTGATGATAGTCAAGATGGGTTTTGTTTGGTGGAGGGGTTGTTGGGCGGTGTTGGCGAGATGGTCAGGTTGGCGGAGTATGATAGGGCTTGTTTGGGGAATGGGACCGCTGGTAAGGGGGGGCAGGTGGGCGATGGACGGCCGGAGTAGTTGCAGTGGTATACTGTGTACTGCTGGATGAGATGGAAGTTGGTGTTTGTGGTGGATGAGTAGGGTGGAAGAAGGTGTGGTGAGGACGATGATGAGTCCATGGTTTGAGAAATGAGACGCGGTGGAGGTAAGACCGTTGATCTGGACCCCGGAAAACTCGCAGGAAGTAGAATGAATCCATTCGATCTCGATTCTATGGATAATGTCTAAACGCTGGGGTATCTAGTAACAGTAACAGTAACAGTAACAGTAACAGTAACAGTAACAGTACCAGAGCAAGTTGCTGATCAGCCGGCCAACACAAATCAATCTATCGCTATCGCTTGTAACACACAGAAGCAAAAAAGACTAAATGCCAGCTTTAGTCGCGGTCCACAAACGCTCTCTCCGAATGCTGCAATCGAAGTCGAAGCCAGGGTAGAATATTAAGTATTAAGTAGAAGGGAAAAACGACGCCTGTACGGGCAGCTCATCGTTAATGGTTGGATGGCTCTTCGTCGGAGAGCTCCTCGTCCGACAGCTCCTCCTCGGAAAGATCCTCGTCCGATCGCGTCCTGTCGGACAAGTCTTCAGAGGTACTGGGGCTCGGGAGTGCAGGCACCACGTACTCCGGGTCGTTGGGGTCATGCATGTCCTCGGGCGCGAGCACCCGACCGCCCAGTTGTACGTCGCCCACATGGACCCGGTACTCGAGCGCCCGCTGACCTTCCTTGATGAGCTCCTCGGTCCACCCCAGGCACCGCTTCAGGCTCTGGTTCATCCGTTGGCTGTCGGCGAGCAGCTCCTGGTGTTTGGCCAGGTCGAGCAGGAACCGTTTCTCATCCCGTGTCCGATGGCTCGCATCCGGCTCAACCTGCGAGTCGGCCGGACTGAGCACGCCTGAATCAGCCATGGAATCCTCCTCGTCGCTCAAGTCCGACAATTCCTGCGGCGACGACCGGGTCGACGACCGCTCGCTGTGGGCCTCGTCGATCTCGCTGTGAATGGATAGCGTGGCAGACGCAGATCGCGACGACTGCGCCATGGACAACCGTCCCGAGCGGCTGAGGCGTCGGTACCGTCGTAGTTCCGCGTTCTGCTTGCGCATCTCGCGCTCCAGGGTTCGGTTGATGGCCAGCAGTGACGAGCTTCTGATTTCCAGATCCAGAATCCTCCGCTCGGTCCGCGCATTCAATGCTACGTCGTTGGAGGCTTGGCCACCGCTTTCTGACTTCGACGGACTCTGCATTCCGGAGCCATGTGTGTCAACCGACGCGATCGACCCATTGCTGAAGACGCGAGGACGAAGACCTGGCAACGGATCGGTAGCTATAGTGCTGGTGTCGAGCTTGGGTTCGGAGGGAGATATGATCAACGGGCTGGGTCGGAGGCCTTCTTTGTGGGGGTGAGGCATGGCGAGTGGGGCACTATTAGGGGCACCGTTGTTTGCCGAGTCCACGCTGGATGATTTGAGGTGGCGCACGGCGGGGACAGGTCGGGCGGAGACGGTGCTCAATGGAGGGCTTTGAGGCTGTACACTGGGTTCTAGGGGCTCTTCCAACTGTGAGCTGACCTGAGATGCAACGCCGTCGGAAAGGCGGGGGTTTGAGTTCACCCGAGCGGGTCGTAGTCGCGGTGAGGGAGAGGCAGGCTTGGACGAAACCACAGAGCGAGACAGCGATCGACGCTTGTACGAAGTAGGTCCTGTGCCAATATCACTCATCGGCGCTTGTCTTTCCTCTTGTCCGTTTGCGTAGACGAATGTAGTCGCGGAGGCCGATTTGCCCGCCAGTTTGGGCCGGACCTCGGTCGTCTCGGATGACGAAATTGTGGATCGGGCATCACTGGCGTGGAAAAACATGGGAGATGCAGACGCATTCTCGGAGGATATATGAGGTCGTGCGAGATGATTGGACTCTCCTGCCACTGTTTTGGTTCGGGCAACCTTCGGGGGTTCCAGCATGCCTCCCCGGACTGGGCTCCGCTCGGTGCGGAACCGCCCCTGATGGCCCCCCTGAGCCACGCTGGGTTGGGCCCAGGACACATGTAGTGAGCTCGTCCCATTCGAGGAGAGATTATTCGGCGAAGCAGTCGAACCGTCTCTTCTGCTGGCGCGGGAACCGGATCGAGGGGTCACGTTGGCACTGAGGAGGGAGGGTTCCGGCTCCCGCCGACCAGGGGCCGAGGAGGGATGCTCGGAGGGGGTCGACCGGTTAGGGGTGCGATATCCGCCTGGCGTGGCTAGTCGAGGAGTCAAAGGAGATTGAGACTTGGTTTGGGTGCGATGGAAGGATGCACTGAGGGCGGGGGTAAGGGGTTTGGCGAGATGGCCATGGGATTGTTTATCGGAGGTCATAGTTGCGGCAATCGAGGGGCGGCAGGAAAGGAGGGCGACTTATGGCATTGCGATGCTCCAGGAAGTTCTGAAGCATGATGGCACCAGCCGGTCACGGATCGCAAATTGAAAAGAAAGCCGTCAGGGTCAGGCAAGGTGAGGATGGGAAGAGGATAAGCGAGGCAAAAAGAGAAGAGAATTCGTGTGGGTTGTTGGGAGGGGGGGGGGAGTAGTGGTGAAAAGTGGGTGGAGTTAGTGGTGGTTTAGTTGCTGCCGACGGCGAGTTGTTGGCAGCAGCAGTCAGTCAGTCATAATTAATGAAGAGTTTAAAGTAAAGTAGAATGTTTTGGCCGAGCAAAACAATCCCCGCCCAATCCGGTTAGCTTTCCTCCTCCGCCGCCCGCCTTTCGTTTCACCGCCGCTATTATTATCCATTCAACCTTCTTCTTCTTCATCTTCATCTTCATCTTCTTCCTTCTCTCCCTTCGAAAGATAACCGACAGCTAATCGAACATCAGATGGAGCTGCTGATACGAGGCGTACCTTCACCAGCCGATCTGGACCACACACCAGATCACGGCCCGATGCCTCCCAGCCTCCGCCAACCCCTCGCGCATTGCATGGGCTGATGCAATTGACCCCCGATCGAGCCCGAAGCTTCATCCAGCTTAGTCACTCGGTGGCTACGGCGATCACCCCATAGTATCATATCAGGACTTCTACGCCCGGGATCCCCTCATTCCCTCCGTGAGGCTCGCGAGTTGATCCGATCAGATCAGGGACGCAGTTGACCCCGGTTTACCTCTGATCTCATGGGGAATGCCCGATCGGCCCATGTGTAGTGCACGTGATTCCCCCCTCCACTATGGCAGCCACGCAAGGGATGCATGGTCCTTCACCTCTGACGCCTGCGTCATCTGACACTCCAGATTTCTTGATTCTGGCGCCGAATCTGGGGTGGGAATGTGGTGTGCCAAGCTGATGGAGTTGTCTCTTCAAAGGGATAACATAGCCAGCTTAAATACCAACTATTGCCAGGACAAACCATCCTCCTGGTTGCTGATTGACTTCTTGCGCCCGTAGCGTTGCATTTGCTTCCCAATGTTCGTTATCCACCTAGATAAGGTGTCTGTCTCTGGTGAATGCCCGCTTGGTTCCTGGGGTTCCGGCCCAGTTCCGCCTCTGCGCAATGGTCTTTGAGGATAAATTCAGTAGTGGTCGCCCGATCCCACAGAAGTACAAAGTCTATCAATAGAGCATATTGGCCACAGGCTTTATGCTCATCGAGATGGTTGAGCTTCCAGAGGTGCATAATCTTACTACCTCACCAACCAAATTCTTGGATACAACCAAGCAATTGAAGAATATCAATGCTCCATTTGACTCTTGTGGTCAGGCCCAAACTTACGTTGCCGACTATCTATTTACTTGTGTGTAATTTCACCATAACTGGTTGCTTGTGCCGCTCGACCTCCCAGGATTCAGACTGCCATTCATCACAAATTTCTTCAGAGCTAAGACACGAATTCAAGTGGTACCTGCCGGTAACTAATACGGGGGAAGCATTCTGACTGTGGCTTATCTTGCAGAAGGTCTAGGGCTGGGTGTGCAACAACCGCCGCAACGTCGGCGTCGGAATCGGGTTAGAGCCAAACACTCGATGAAGATATTACCGCTGCAAGATAGTCACTGTGAATTAGCGTGGCGGGCGTTGTTGCGCTTCAGAGTCTTATGGCGTGCTTATTTTTCTTTTCGTTGCCCCCTTATTATCTTGCAGCGACCATGAACTTGCTTGTCATTTCCGTTTTGCAACGTGCTTCTAGGATTTGCCTGAGTCGAACATCGAAATTCAGAAGAACCGGATTTCAAGATGAGAATCGGCAACACACCCTCGAGCGGCAATCCTGTGGCGTATGCTCAGGAGGATCGCGTGCAGAGTATCCTTCAACGCCAGCTGGACGGATTACCTACCACACCCTCTGCAAATTGCACGGTGTTTGACTACGTGGGAAAATTGGATTTGCTTCTTATTGGAATCAGTACTTTGGCGGCCATAGTCGCTGGGGCACTCAACCCTCTACTTACTGTTGTCTACGGTCTGGTGGTTAGGTCTTTCCAGAAGCATGCGAACGGCGTGGATGATGGCGCAAATCTCTCCTCCAATGTGTCGAAACTCGCGCTGTACAACGTCTACCTCGGGATAGCCGAGTTCGTCCTCATCTACATTGCGACAGTGGGCTTCTACCACACAGGCGAGCGCATCACCCGGAACTTGCGTCGTGTATACTTGAGGGCGATCATCCGGCAGAATATCGCCTTCTTCGACACGCTGAGTCCCGGGGAGTTCACCGCACGTATCACGTCCGACATGAACGTCATTCAGGAAGGCATTACTAGCAAAATTTCAACCTTCTTGACAGCCTTGGCTACTTTCGCCTCGGCTGTTGTGGTTGCGTTCTTTGAGTACTGGAAATTAGCTTTGATGCTGATCTCAACTTCCCTCATCATTGGCGGGGCTGAGTTTCTAGGGGCTATGTATGCTTTGAAATTCAGTCGACAGAGCTCAGCGGCTTTGAATCAGGGAGCCTCTGTCGTAGAGGAAACCATCAGCTCTATCCGACATGTTGCTGCGTACGGGATCCAGAGTGCCATGCGTGAGCGATATTTGAAGCATCTTGACTTGGGCGAGACTTGGGGGCTCAAAGCACGATTGTCGGTAACGTTTATGATCGGAATCATGAATTCAGTACCGTATCTAAGCTACGCTTTGGCCTTTTGGCAAGGGTCCCGCTACGTTATCACTGGGGAGATGAGTGGGTCAGCCGTGGTCACAACGACCATGGCCATCATCATCGCTTCGTTCGCTGTTGGCCGGGTGGCTCCCAGTGCAGAGTCAATGGTCAAAAGTGTAGTACATGCCGGAGTCATTATGAAAGCTATTGCTCGCCAATCTCCCCTCGATCCACTGACCACGGAGGGACGAACCCTACCAGACGTTCACGGTGACGTTGAGT